AAACTTCTTGAAATTTTTAAATTCTCAAGAACCAAGGATCCAGTTCACAATGGAAACAGAGAACAACAACAGATTGGCGTTTCTGGATGTTTTAGTGGAACGAAAGCCAGATGGAAGTTTGGGCCACAGGGTATATAGAAAACCAACTCATACGGACAGGTACCTAAATAAAGAGTCTAACCACCACCCAAGACAAAAAAGAGGCGTCATAAAGACTTTGACAGAACGAGCAACAAGAATATGCCAGCCCGAATACCTCCAGGACGAGCTCAAACATCTAACGGTAGCCCTTCAGAACAATGGTTACTCAAAACAGGAGATCAAGCGAGCCACACGGCCTAAGAGCAACCAGCCCCGTGCCACCGTGGAACGCCAGCAAAGGGGAAGGGCCTTTCTACCCTTTGTAAAAGGAGTTACCGATCGCATCGGGAAAATACTGGAGAGGCATGAAGTAAAAACAGTATACAAGACCATCGGCAACAGCCTAAAATCCAGCAAAGATTGCAGAGATCCACTACAAACACCGGGAATTTATCGGATTCCTTGTAGTTGTGGCTCCGTGTACATTGGAACGACAAAAAGGAGCATAAACACCAGATTATCTGAACACAAACGAAGTTGCAGACTTGGTCAGACGGAGAAATCGGCAGTCGCAGAGCATACTTTGACAGATAGCAACCATCGAATCATCTTTGAAGAAACCCAAGTTCTCGACCGAACCGTCAACTACTACCCTCGAATGTATAGAGAGGCCATAGAAATTCAAAAACACAACATGAATTTCAATCGAAAGGATGAAGGGGTCAACCTTAGCAAGACATGGTTACCGGCCCTCCGTAATACCACAACAAAAAGACAGGGGCCCCAGAGACAACACCCCTACGTTCAGTCCTCCGTCCGTCCAGACGTAACAACACCAGCGCGAGCGACACCAAGCGCATCCGAACAGTCAGTCGAACAGTGCACCATCGAGCACACGTTCATTGCGACAAAGTTTTTTTTACGTGCAAACTTCACCACTTGTGGTTGAAGCGGGCGTTTCGAAGTTTAGTGTTGTTGTTCTCGACAGAGCAACATGACGGACGAGAGTGCAGGCGAAGAGCCAGAGGAAAACCAATCATTCCACTCAGGGAAATCGGACAGCGAAGATGACGGTTCCGGGGTGGACCCCCAAGAGTTAATCTCTTCCATAACAAGAGACAATAAGCGACTCAAAGCCAAACAAGCAAGATTAGTGGAGGAACACCAAAGGCTCTCCTCTGAATCCGAGAAAGAAATAACCAGGTTAGTGGACAAAAATAATCATTTTGAAAAATTATTAGATCAAGTAAGAATCGACTACGAAAGTCAACTTAATTTATTAAAACAACAGCATGAAATTCAAATTCTCAATTTAAATGCAGAGCTTGGGCAACTAAAAACTCAAGTTCAGCTACTTCTTCAAGCAAATGCTCAACTTTCAGATGAATCCAAAACTCTCAACAATTTAAATAAAACTCAGGCTGAAACCGAGCCTGCAGAGGCTGACAGACCTATGTCCAGTCTCGACTCAGAAGTCTCAGACTCTGAGGAGAGAATGGACGTAGAGCTGGGCCAAAGCAGACCCGGCCCAAGCCATGCAGATTTCCCCCCTCTGGGGAAAAGCAGGAAAAGGACAAGGACATCAGATCCAAGCCTTTCCCCAAAAAAAACACTCAAAGTCAATTCCTCAAACAGTTCTACAGATCTTAATAGCAATTCAAATTCATCAAATATAAGCAACAATTCACAATCCAAGAGCAAAACCAATTTAGCTCCACCTAAGCCCACACCAACTAGTCTAAGAGTACCCCCAATTATCTTAAGGTCAAAAGACAAATACGATAGGGTATCTATTTTTATGAAAAACCAAAAAATCGTGGCCACTCACATTCGTAACATCAACGACGGCATTAAAATTGAGGTAAAAACACCTGCCGAGTACAACAAATTAACCAAATTTCTTGATGAAAATAGATACCCATATCACTCTTTTGCCCTACCCGACGAAAAAAACCTCCACATAGTTCTCAGGGGCGTTGTGGAGGATTGGTCGGAACAAAGGGTGAAAAATGCCCTGGAGGATCTCCAGTTTAATCCAATCAGTGTCAGCAGGTGGTGTCATAAGGACGGGCGGCCCATGCCGCTGGTATTAGTGATACTGACCAAAAACATCGCTAATAAACGAATTTACGATATCAAAAAACTAGAAGACATTGACATCAAAGTAGAGGCACAAAAGCCGAAAACAACAATATCACAGTGTCACAGATGCCAGCTGCATGGGCACTCCGCCTTTAAATGCACCGCCCCCCCACGTTGTGTAAAGTGTGCAGGGGAGCATCACACAAGGGAATGCCCACCAGAGCCATCAAAACTCATCATCAAATGCGTCAATTGCGGGGGCGACCATACTGCTTCTTATAGAGGTTGCCCAAAAAACCCACTTGTTATTAAAGCTGCCAAAGAAGCAGCCGAAGAGGCCAAAAGGCCCAAATCTCTGGGGGGCACGCCCTTTGTGTGGGGCTCCCAAGACGTCAGAAAACTTGCAAGCAATTCATCTGCTCCTGCTAACAACCAAATCAATCCTGAGATGATCTCTGACTGGTTCAGAATTATGAACTCTATGCAAAGCAACATGCAAAATTTCATGCAAGGTATGCAGGAGCAAATGAAAAGCTTTTTCAATCCAATAAACGTTAATAAAAATGTTATCAGCAAACACTGAATGGACGCTAAACCATGTTACTTAAAAATAGTCACCATCAATATAAATTCAATTCGCAACAAACGTCAGGAAATTGTCAATTTTCTGGAGGAGCACTCAGTGGACGTCATGCTGATCCAGGAAACCTGGTTGAAACCAGGAATCAGATTCAGCGTGCCAAATTACAGGGTGTTTCGTAACGACAGGCCTGGCAGGAATGCTGGCGGTACACTGATCCTAGTGGCAAAACACATTTTCGCCTACGAAATCCCCAACCCCGACGACGTGATCGAGGGAACCTTCATTAAAATTAGAATGATACAACATGAATTGATACTAGGATCAGTGTACTGTAGCCCCACCAGGGACATTGAGATCACCAACATTGCAAAATTCTTTGACAACGAGGACTGCACTTTGCTTGGTGGGGATCTCAATGCCAAAAACAGGGAATGGGGCTGCAGAGGCACCAACAAAAGTGGCAGGAGCATACAGTATGCAAGTGAGTTCCTGGGCTACAATGTCATCCCCCCACAGGAAAAAACCCACTGCTCCACACAGGGGCTCCCCGAGCTCCTGGACTATTTCTTGGGAAAAAACACAGACTTCACTTCTACACCAGTAGTTATACATGAACTGTCTTCGGACCATGTTCCAGTGGCTCTGGAGTATGGTGACCCCAATAACCCCCTGAAGGGCTACAAACAAGTATCCAAAACCAACTGGACAAAATACTCAGAGCTACTGGAGGCTGTTCCGGAAGCAGGAATACTGAATACTCCAAATGAAATAGATGAGGAAGTGGACAGAGTCACCTCCGAAATCCACCTGGCCATGGCACTGTCCACAACAGTCTCCCACGAAAAATATACAAAATACGGCATTCTGCCAAACTTCATCAAGTACCAAATCAAGGAGAAAAACAAAATTAAAAAGATGGCCTACAGGACAGGGGATCCTGCAATCAAAAGAAAAGCCAATCAGCTTACTGACAACATTAAAAGCATGCTGAAAGAACACTACAATCATTTATGGGAGACGAAAGTAGCCCAGGTCTCAATCGAGGATAACTCAGTCTATAAACTCACCAGAGGTCTAACCAGAGCTCCACGCAAACCAATTCCTCACATCGAGGTCGACGGACAGGCAGTGTCTAATCCTCGAGAAAAAATCGATCTATTTTCTAAATCTCTAGAAGAGCAATTCTCAGAAAATCCTGCCACTAATATCATCAAAGAACAACAAATAAACAGAGCCGCCGCCGTTTATAAAAACATGCCTTACAATCCAGGCAATTTCCAACAGGTGAGCTTGGAAGCTGTCAAAACAATCGTTTACAACCTACATTCAAACAAGGCTCCTGGACCGGATGGCGTCCCGAATGCAGCCCTCAGGAACTTGCCCCACAATTTCCTGACCAAAATCGCTAACATCACAAACTCGATGTTCAAAGTAGGGCACTTTCCCAACAGATGGAAGGAGGCTAAAGTAATCTTAATTCACAAGAAAGGGGAAAACCCCAATGCTCTCAAATCCTACAGACCTATTAGCCTCCTTTCATTGTTGGGAAAGGTGTCTGAAAGGCTAATTCTAGATCAATTGAACAACCACATAATAGACAATGACATCCTGCCTGAAACCCAATTCGGATTCAGGCAGGGTATCGGTTCAATCACTCAAACAACCAGACTCGCTGCCAACATTATCAAGGGCTTTAACAGAAAGGCACATACAGGAGCAGTGTTCCTGGATGTGTCTAAGGCCTTTGATAGGGTTTGGCACAACGCCTTATATATTAAACTAATTAGACTAGGTTTTCCGAGTCATTTAACAAAAGTAATTGAGAAATTTCTAAGCAATAGGTCATTCAAAGTGTTTGCTGATGAGCATTTTTCAGAAAACAGGATCATCAGAGCTGGAGTCCCCCAGGGATCTCCTCTTTCACCCACTCTATATAATTTATTCACCTACGATATTCCGTCTTCAACTCACACAAAACTTTACATTTTTGCAGACGATACCGCTCTGACATCCATTTCAAAACAAACCCGAATAATTGTTGACAGGCTCGAAAGAGCACTTTCGAAAATCGAGAAATGGATGTCAGATTGGAAAATCAAAGTAAATCCTAACAAAACTCAAGCTATTATTTTCACCCGGAGGAGGCCGGCGGCCGAACGAACCATTCGTTTTGCCGAAACTTCCATAGAGTGGGTGAATCAGGTGAAGTATTTGGGGACCATCTTTGACCAAGGGCTTAGGTGGAACTCAAACACAAATTACTTAATCAAAAAGGGTAATGCCCAAATGATGGCACTATACCCCCTTCTAAATAAAAATAGCAAATTATCAACAAGCAATAAAGTCACTCTCTACAAACTATTCATTAGATCTATCTCTTCTTTTGGGGCAGTCACTTGGGCAACTGCCGCGCGCACCCACAAAAGGAGATTTCAAACATTACAAAATAAATCTGCTCGTATAATTACAAAAGCCCCAAGATACATCAGAATCAATCAACTACACAGAGAAATAAACTTAGAACTGTTTGAGGAATTCACCACCAAACTCATAAACCAATTTTTCAGGAAAGCACAACTCAATACAAACAATGCAGTGAGAGAAACTCTGACTCGATCAATAGTTTTCGATTCTTACAAATATCCAAATGATTTTCGGACCGAGTAACAGTCCCAATGTTTGTTTTTGTCCACTAACTAACCCACCCACCCTTTCCCTTCTTCCCCCCCCCCCCCCCCCAACACCACCCCCCCATTTGTCAACCCTTATTGTAGCCAATGGTAATATAAAGCAATTAGAAAAAAAAAAAAAAAAAAACAACCAAGTTAAAAAGGCTAATAGTTGAATACTGAGCCACAATTACTCATCTCGATCCCAAATGACACCAAGCGCATCAGTCGTGAGCCAGACGCCGAAGAGAACACTTCGACCACTAGCGCACCGCCTTTGAAGATGTCTGCCGCAGCCGCAGACGAAACGTCAGGGATAGATAAAACCCATAGACCACGGCCCACAAGCCCGGAAAAAGTTCATCATCATTACGATATACTGTCGATAATATGGAGTGCGGGTGTGTTTAATGAAAACTATACGTTAGCGTGACGAATAGGTCTACTTATATCAAAACTATAAAATTCATTAAATTAATGAGTAAATGAAAAGTTGGTTTTTGGCTTATTTGGACTTTATTTTACAAAATATCCATAAATCAACAGCCAACGTTTCCACGCATTCCGCGTCATCCTCAAGCTAAATAATTAATGAGTAAAGTTCGTTAGTTATGAACGTTCATTCAATCACTAACACATACGCCAAGCTGATGAAACATATTCATAAGTTAATGAACTCTTGGTCATTGATTCGATGCATAACTTCATCGACACAATAAAGAAATTTCCATAAGCATGATGAACAAATTTTTTGGGATAAGAAATAATCATCAGTACAATGAATGTGGTTTATGAACGATTATTCATTAAATCAAAGAATAGAATCAGTGGTCTTCCAAGAAAGTTCCTTATACTGATGAAAGTGGACGTGCGAACAATGGAGAATAAAAATTCATGGGTTTTATGATATTAATGAACATACATTTTTTACATTAAGGAACGAAGGAAAGCTTTCTTGAAGCCAATCAAGACCCGGTAATAGTCAAAATTTGAACTTATATCAACTCTGGATTCGCAAGAGAATTTTTGTAGGGGCATTCAAAGCTCAAGAGCCGATAAAAATCCAAAATTTCGAATGATCATTAGCAGCTCTCAAGTTGATATAAATCAAAATTTTTTCTTCCGCAGGTTCTAATTAGCACAAGAAAAATTATCCAATGGATCAAGAGCCATAGATAATCAAAATTAAACTATTACCGAATCTTGATTCTCTGGAAAACAGTCCTGGAGCCAATCAAGAGCTGGTAATAGTCAAAATTTGAATTTTTATCAACTCTAAATTCTCTAGAGAATTTTTCTACATTACATTTAGAGTGTGGCTCTGAGATCATTCTTGAATGCATTCCAAAAATGAAGCTTGACTTTGTACAATGAAAAGTACAAATATTCGATCTTTTTCATAAGTAGTGGAATCAAATTTGACCAATATTTTCGCTATACATAAATAGAAAAATGCAAAGACGTCACGAAATTCCTGAAAATGAAACAAAAACCATGCACTTAATGTGTTTCCTATGCAATTTTCGCCGGATAACTGTTTATTTAAGGAAAACCAAATTCAAAATTAAAAGCTGCACCATGTAACTTCTTCAAGGACAAGATTCTAAATTTGCCACGGTTTTCTTTTGGTGACGCCAACGTTCGAGACTCAAATTAAATTGTAAAGTGTCTCCCACCTTTAAACTGTGGTTAGTGAAAATTTTCTTATTTCTTGGCAAGCTGAACTGTGCAAGCTCTCTTGTTAAAAAAGAAAATGTTAATTTTTACGAATTAACGACATAGTTAAAAAAAAAAACACATTAGGAATCAAGTGGATTATTTAGTGCGATGGTCTAAAATTAACCTTTTGGAAAATGTTGATGGTGTTGGTTAGTTTTATTTCGACAATCGGTTCTAGTGCGTGTATGTTTTTTTTTGTCCTTAAACATGTTTTAGTTCAGTGAATTTAAAAATGTTCAGTTTCTTTAGACGATCCAAAAAAGAAGACAATAAAAAAAATAAAGACAATAAAGAAACTTCAAAAGAAGTGAAACCTTCCATAGAGGTATCAAAAAATAACGACACATCCAATGTAAATAGTAAAGAAGACAAAAGAAATGTTTACAAAAATGATTTCAATGGCGGGACTTTATGTTCAAACATACAAAATGGACAATGTTCATCTAAAAATATTGATAAAATTGTTGATAAAAAAGACAAAAAGACCGAAACTGGATCTCAAAATACTGATACAATAATTGTTAATTTTGAAGACAAAAACAACGAAACAAAAAATTACAACAATGATCCCGGTACTTTAAGTACAAACTCAACAGTAGGACAATGTTCGTCTAATGATGACACGAAAATGTGTAAAAATAATCAACCTTCCGCACCTGAACTTGCGCCCGAAACCGAACCAATCATCATTCCTTTGCCAAAAAATGTCGTGAATGCAGCTAAAACTATCAGTAGTGAAGTTGCGACATTTTACGAAAAAAACAACGAATCGAGCGAAGCAGCAAAAATGTGCGATCCTTACGTAAACGGATTAAAAGTGCCCAAAGCTAACGAACGACGTGGTTCTTGTGTTAAACCTTGCGGACACGGTACCACGGCTATTTTACCGTGGATACCGGTCCAAAATGCTGCTAAGAAACAGGATACCAGTCCGTCTGGAAGTCCTGTGATGGAAGTTAAGAAAACTTTGAGGTATACTGTAAGTGCTATAAAAGAAAAGGAGCAGCAGGAAGATGGTAAACTGAAGAATGAGGAGAAATTAGATGTTGGGGCTGGTAAGGGTATCGAAGAACAACGAGAGGAAGAAAAGTATGTAATCAGTGGGTGATTTTTTTTTGAGCTATTTTTAAGTTTATTTTTCTGTCCACACAGTAAACAAAAGTAACATTTGGTTGCGTCAATAATTTCAAAATCAATTTTAGGTCTAGGCCAGAACTATAAATTTTTGATTTATTTTGTACAAATAAAATAGTAGATTTGAAATCGTCAATTTCTACTGAATCATTTCTGGTTTCAAGTAAATCATCCTAATTTTGAAGAAAATCTAGATTTTGCAACTGATTCTTTGTTTTCTCCATCAATACTGTTTGATAACATAAAGTTATGTCCACTTATTTTAATCCAATACATTATAATTTCAGCATAACCTTTTACGTGAGATAGTTTTTTGGTTTTTTAACAGTTTCGTCTTTACTGATGGAGCTTGGAGCGAAGTAAGATCAGAGAAATACACGTTTCAAAAATGAAAATGAAGCTGGAATTATGAAAGTTCTGGATTTTTGCTATTGCATGTGTTTCCAGTTTTTTTCGGAATCAGATCTTTTTCAAACTTATACATATTCGAATAGTTAAGGTTTTCAATTAGAGTTTTACATAGGTATATTTTTATTATTTTAAAGTTAAATTATATTAACGAAATGTTTATAGTCCGGGATACTAAACTTAGAAAACATGGAAATATTTTTAGCTCGTTTGACGCGGGAATTGATTCATAAAGGCACCCACTTAAATTTTAAAATAACATTTTCCAAAAATTTACGTATTCCAAATAGTCCGTCGATCCTTTGTTTTATCTAAATGAATGTTTATTTCCTTTGTGTGTTTTCGGTTTATTATTTTTGATTTTTCTAAATTTTGTCGAACAACTGCGGTCGTGAATTTTCTAAGGAGTCCAATTAATCAAGATACTCTCTCTGACCTTGTAGCATGACATATGTTAGAGATTATAGAACACTTTCCTTTTATTTTTTGGCGTATATCCAATCATTTTTTGGATTAACTTATACTTACTACTTTGTGACTATCTTTGTCTCAAATGAATTTCATACATAATAGGGTAGGTACTTACACAACATTTATATTTAAGAATCTTCATCATATTTTCGTGAGAAAAAGTACCTATACCTATCTAAAATGCTCTTGACAAATATAAATGATTATTATCTGAAAAATTTAAAATTGGAAATCATCAACATTTCAAATTTTAAGAAACGATTCTAATTGGTTTACGTCACAACTCAATTTAATTTTTAAGTCGATCTTCAAGATTTTCTCATGTTGCATTTATTTTTTCACCGAATTAATTCGAAATTTCAGTGTAATAAGAACCTTACTTTCCTTTTTCTACTCCAAAAATTTCAAATTTTTCCCAACAACAGTTTTTTGAAAAATCATCAAAATGTGAAAGGGTGTATTTTTCTTAATTTGGTTTTTTAAGTTGATTTTCAAGATTTTCTCAGGTTGCCATTTTTCATCGAATTAATTTGAAGTATGATAAGCTCCTTTCCTTCATCTCTTTAGTCCAAAAGTTTCAAATTTTTCCCATCATTTTTTAAAAAATCATCAAAATGTGAGTACTTTTCTTAATTTGTTTCTTTTAAGTTGATTTTCAAAATTTTCTCATGTTGCCATTTTTCATCGAATTAATTTGAATTTTCAGTATGATAAGCTCCATTCCTTCCTCTCTTTACTCCAGAAGTTTCAAAATTTTCCCGTGAACAGTTTTTCGAAAAATAATCAAAATGTGAAAGAGTGCCTTTTTCCTAATTCAGGTTTTTTAAGTTGGTTTTCAAGATTTTCTCATGTTGCCATTTTTCACCACTTTATTGATTGCAAATTCCAGTATGATGAGCTCCTTTCTTTCCTCGTTTCACTCCAAAAGTTTCAACATTTTCCCATCAACAGTTTTTTGAGAAATCAACAAAATATGAAAGGGTGAATTTTTCTTACTTTGGTTTTTTTAAGTTTTTTAAATGGCAACATGATTTGCCATTTTTCACCAAATTAATTTGAAAATCCTCCTTCCCTTTTTTTTTTCACTTCAAGTTTTAAAACTTTCATATCAACAGTTTTTCGAAAAATCATCAAAATGTGAAAGGGTGCAAATTTCTCTTGACAACATATTCAGTGTGAATATCCCATCTTACTCTATAATCAATGTGAATACCTAAGTACTTACAACTGTTTTCTCTTTTTATCTGGCGATTTTTTATTTTATGTCCAATCGATTAGGGACATGATCACAGTATGCACCAAAAGCTATATACACTGTTTTCAATATGTTTAGAGATAACTGATTAAGTGCCAGCCACTTATCAACACGCTTAAGCGAATTGTTCATTCTATCTTGCACCTTCTTCCATGAATCGTCAGTTACAGTCACAGGCTGACTGCAGTAATTTGACAATTTAACAGTCTGTTTTCTGTCTGACTTCAAAGCCACTCCCCTTATACCATAGTTATTCAATTTCTCCAATAGTATATCATGATTTACCGTATCAAAGGCTTTAGCAAGATCCAAGAAAGTACTGGCTTACTCTTATCTAAACTTCTATAAACAATATCTTAAACATGATTATTAAAGCATCTTTTGTACTTCTACCTTTCACAAAACAAACTGTTTATCAGATATTAATTTACATTTCGAGGAAAAACTATACAACCTAGTATTATCCGTTCACAATCCGATGTCCACAGGTAGGTTCAGGTAAAATCACCTTTCAATGCTATTTGATAGGGAAAGGTGATAAATTTACCTGCACCTGTGAACAGGATATAGGTATGTATTACCTTCTCTAGAATTTGATATTCAAGATTTTTTCATATGGCCATTTTTCATCGATTTAATTGGAAATTTCAGTATGATGAGCTCGTCTCCTTTCTCTTTTTACTCCCAAAAGTTTCAAAATTTTCCCATCAACAGTTTTTTTGAGAAATCATCAAAAAGTGAAAGGGTGTATTTTTCTTAATTTGTTTTTTTTTGTAATAAGAATAATAAATATTACAAAACGTATGTATACAATTTCAAAAAAAAAAAAAAAATTGGTTTGCCTTGGCACAAACAACAATAGGGATAGAGACCAACAAACAAAATACAAATCAATCAAAATAACAACAAAGATAAAAATGCAAACAATATCAGTGAATAACATTAGGATTCAAAGTCTATTATAAAGCTTTTGGACAGTAACAATTCACGCATCTTGTTTTTGAAGCTTACACTACCTACCTAAATTTTTCAGGTTGTCTGTTTTTGAGGCCTAGTAGCAAAATCCCTTTTTGAAAAACTCACTATGGTGGATTGGTACTTAGTGTTTGTTGTGATTGCCTAAGTTGTAAGGGGTGTGCTTCTGAACGCAATTGTACTTTGTCATATAAATATTTGGGCTGTTTAGTTTTAAATAGTTTATGTATGAGGCAAAACAAGTGTAACCATCTTCTTTGCCGCATATTTAGCTGCAAATATGGAGTTATGTTCTTTTTTTTGAATGTGACAGGAATATCGAACACAGGAATTCTGAATTTTTTGTAATATTTGCGTGTCTTTAGCTCTTAGACTGGGTCCATATATAGTATCACCATAGTTCAATTTGCTTAGCACTAAGGTATCACATAGTTTCAGTTTTGCCTCCCTTGGCAGAAAGTCTTTAATTCTGTACAGGCCAAATGCCAACATATTGATGTGACTGACCTGATGTGCATAGTTCAACCTCTGGTCCATTCGCACGCCGAGAGTTTCGACACAGGTGTTATTTAATCTAATGGACTGGGAATTCATTATTATTTGATCTTGCAGGGCCACTGTGAGGTCCTGAGCTGTTTTACCAAAGATCATTGCTTCTATTTTGTCGCATTGATCTTTAGACCATTCCCCTGTGTCCATTCAAGTATTGCTTGTATGTCATAGTTTATCCTCTTTACTGCAATATGGCTATTCTCCGGGTGAAAACTTAACATGATTTGTATATCATCAGCATAGTAGTGGGAGCTGCTGAATTTAATGCTACTTTGAAGGTCTACCAGGAATAAATTGAATAGGAGGGTCCCAAAATTGATCCTTGAGGTACACCCCTTTCAACTGTTTGTGAGCATGAAAGGTACGTTTTAGAGATGCTCTTCAATTTGACATGTTCTTGCCTCTTCGATAAGTACTGTTTAAACCATTCCCAGGCCATGCCCCTTGGCCCTTATACCATAGTGAGATAGTTTGGCTACTAGTAAGTCATGGTCTATGCTGTCGAAAGCCTTTGACATGTGTTTTTGGATCTACTTCTAGAATAATATCGATTATTTTTCTTCTATTTGCATATATTTTTAGTATCCTAATATCAGATTCTTTAGCTTCCAAATTATTATGTTTGATAATTCTGTTTACAACTTCTTCATCACTATCTTCTCGACTCACCTCCTCATTATCAATATTGTTACTTATACGGGTTCGCAGATAAGTAAGACTACTTTTTCGAACTTTAACGAATTTTATTAAACACAATAACATACAAATCACACGAAATTTAACACTACTTTACATTCCGAACTATTCCAAATAAAGTTTATTATGTTTGAACGTGGTTATTTAGTTCCTGACTTTACAGTTTACTGCACTTGACGTACGTCAATCAGAACTGATGCTTACGCGGTGCGCACCGGGGCTTTTATAGTTATGTGCGTCCTTCTCTAACACGCTCGAATTTTCGTGATTCAGTTCATCTTGAAAATAGTCGAAATTTTTTGGCTTCTTTAACTGTAGTTACAGGGGGCAATCAAAAAGTACGAGTGGCGGGTTTATAACAATATTAGCATCTTTAACTTTGGTTTCTTCAGTGCAGGTATTTCGACATGATATTCATTACTTAGTTCTGCAGCTATCTGTTTTTTTAATGCCCTGATATCCTCGTCGTTATCACATACAATCACAAAAGCCCCATTATTAGCCTGTTTAAACTTTGATATATTTAAATTATCTGGGTTCACCTTTTTCCTTATATCCATGTTGTTTGTTTGCTTGACTGCTCTGCTTTTGGGTCAAT